AATATAGTTAGCTACTTCCAAAAATTGTTCGACAATGATGAAGCTCAGTCACATGATGACCTCCCTCGGGATATTTTCCCTGAATTTACAACCCGAGACTGGAATAGCTTGACTAGGCCGTTTCTTCAATGTGAAATTGACAGAGTAGTGAAGGAGATGGGTGCTCTATAGGCTCCGGGTCAGGATGGTTTTAAAGTTTTATTTTTTCAGAAAAATTGGGATTTAGCGGCAAAAAAGGTCTAGAAATTGGTTCTTGATGTGCTAAATGGGAAGGGGATGCCGCAAAGTTTGAATGACACCTTCCTTGTCTTGATTCCTAAAGTGGACAATCCGGAGGTAGCTTCTCAATTTCGTCCCATTAGTTTGTGTAATGTGGCTTATAAAATAATTACAAAAGCTATTGTAAACCGAATTAAACCTATGATGCCTCACCTCACTTCGAGTAAACAAACAAGCTTTGTACCAGGGAGTCAAATTACCGATAACATAGTTATTGTTCAAGAGGTAATTCACACTATAAAGTCAAAACAAGGTGCTACGGGTTTTATGGCCATCAAAATCGATTTTGGAAAAGCATATGATCGATTACGATAGAATTTTATCCAGGATACCCTTATGGAAATTAGATTTCCTATCCTCCTAGTAGATGTTATCATGGAGTGTATTACTACTTCTTCTATGAAGGTATTGTGGAATGGAGAACCTACCCAAGCTTTTTTTTACCTAAACGTGGTGTTAGACAAGGGGATCCGCTTTCACCTTATATTTTTGTACTTTGTATGGAGAGGCTAAAGCAAATAATTGAAGAATCTATTATTTTAAATAGATGGAAACCGATAAGAGCAAGCAGGAATGTGCCTCAACTTTCAAACCTAGCCTTCGCGGATGACATTATATTATTTGCTGAGGCTACGGTTGAACAAGCAGGATGGATAAAGCAATGTCTAGATAGGTTAATCAGTCAACATCGTTCCTCTTACGAGCATCTTCGAACCTCTCCTTTACCTTTTGCTGCTTCAGGGTAAAGAGTGAGTTATCCAAAGTCAAGGGTATATTTTTCAGGGAACACTGATGATACTCAATGGCAAAGTATTATAAATTACTTGGGGATTGAGCAAACTGACGACCTTGGCACTTACTTGGGGATGCCAACTCTATCGGGTAGAGTGAACAAGGATACCTTTCGTTATTTATGTGAGAAAATTGATAGGAGATTATCGGGGTGGAAGTCGAAATATGTCTCTCTTGCAGGTAGGATCACCTTAGCAAAATCGACTATTTCCACAATGGCTTCCTATGCTATGCAAACGGCTAGAATACCAAGGACCATATGTAATGATATTGACAAAAGGACAAGAAGATTTATTTGGAGGGGAGATGAAGAAAGGAGAAAAATCCATCTTATTTCCTGGGAAAAATTGCAGCAGCCGAGAGAACTTGGTGGCTTGGGGATCCGATCATCGAGACAAACTAATTCGGCCTTTTTAGCTAAGCTTGGTTGGAGGTTGCTCACCGAACCTCATGCTTTGTGGGCTTGTGTGCTTAGGAGCAAGTATTGTAAGGGGAGGTGTGATGTAGACATGTTTGAGCCAAAGCAAACATGTCAAATATTTGGAAGGGAATTACAGAGAACGCTAATATAATCTCAAAGGGTGCGCAAGTGGCAGTGAGTGATGGCACAAAGACGCTCTTTTGGGATCATAGTGGGTCTGTTTGAAGCCTCTTAGGGAGCTAGTTGTTGGAAATATTCCTTTAGACATTGAAGGAGCTACAGTTACTGAGATGTGGGATGAATTATTGGGTTGGAAGTGGGCTGCTTTCGCTGATATTCTACCCTAAGATACGCTGCGTGAAATTGAATCCCATAGCTTGATTAAAAATCCGGAAAGGGGGGGTCTTTTGGAAAAAAGAGGCTAAAGGGAAGTTCACAATTAAATCAGCGTTGCAAATTATACGTAATGATGAAGATGAACATGATGATGGCTCGTGGGAACTTGTTTGGCGTCTCAGAGTGCAACAACGCATAAGGGTATTCTTATGGATAGTGCTACATGATAGGGTAATGACAAATGCAAATAGGTTCAAGCGTGCTTTGACTGATGATCCGTGCTGTAAGCTATGTGAAAACGTCGAAGAAAGCACCCTTCACTTGGTGCGTGATTGCAAGGCAGCAAGGGAGATCTGGCGCCAGGTGGGAGGGCCAGCCAATGCACCTGACTTCCGCACTGGCTCCTTGCAGCAGTGGCTTATCCGCAACATCAAGGTACAATACCATAACAATTTATCTCCTGAAATTTGGCCCACTTATTTTGCTATTGTAATATGGTGGATATGGAGATGGAGATGTGCAGTAGCTTTTGGTAAATCACATGAAATTCTGATTGATGTGAAACAATTTTTACTGGAAAGATTTGAAGAAGTTTGGAGAGTATTGGGTGACAGTACTTCTGACAACTCCCAAGTGACACCTCGTAGGGAGGCCTTTATTAAATGGATTGCTCCTCCCTTTGGTTAGATGGCATTGAACTCGGATGGAGCAGCAAAAGGAGCTCCTGGGCCTGCTGGTGGGGGGGGGGTATTATTAGAGACTCAACAGGGAAGCTTCCTTATGCTTATTCGCTGAAGTTGGGGAACTGTAGTGCTTTCAAAGCTGAGGTCTTAGTTGCAGAGTATGGTCTTGAACTGGCTCGGAAGATGGGGATCAAAAAATTGCAGGTTCAATTAGATAACAAATCTGTGGTGCAAATCCTAAATAACGAAGATGAATATGGTGGGGAAAGCACACATGATATCCTCCATTGTAAGAATCTAATCAAGAAGCAAGATTGGGAAGTTACCGTGAAGCACATCTATAGAGAAGCAAACCAAGCAGCGGATTGCCTAGCCAACCAAGGAGTAACCCAGAACAACAAATTTCAGTTGATTCAAGTCCTCCCCTTAGCTTTAGGGCGTATTATGCATAATGATGTAGTAGGTGTGGCCTTGCCACGGTTTGTACCCCCTTAGTTTCTTTGTTTTATTTTTATTTCCCGAGGCTTAGCCTCTCATGCGCACCAAAAAAAAAAAAAAAGGTATCTGTTTGTCCTTTGAAGATGGAACCGTCGAATTCAAATGAAAAGAAACAAGTAGAAGAACGAGTGGGTTTGAAACAATTACAAGAATGACTGATTATGATTGACCTTATGGGGTTAAGGTATCATACCGGAGAGTTGCCAGCTAGTGATGTATTACGCAGAAGATTTGCAAAAGGTTTTAAAGAGCATATTAGAATAAGAACCATTACTAATATGAATCAAGCTCCTAAACAGGACTGATTTTAACTTCCTAGTCTTTGAATAATTTCATTTTTAGGAAAACTTTTTACTACTTTATTGCACATCATATTTGTATTTTGTTCTTCATCCGGATAAGGGCATGTTCTCATACGATTATTTTTAGTTCAGCTCAGCTCTAATAAGTTTTGTTCAGTTCTACTCAGTTTCTAATTTCCTTCTCTTATAAAATATTCATTTCAATTCAGTTCAGTTCAGTTCAGCTCTAATAAGTTAAGTTAAGTTCAGCTCAACTCATTTCAGTCAATGAAAACAAGCCCATAATCTATATGCGTCAAAAAATTTAGGCAACTTGATCTAAAATAAAGTCTAGTCCCTCAATTATTGAGTTTTAATTTGTCAATTGATGAGATTGGTATAATGAGCATAAGTAGGAGAGTTGAAATATAAACAACAGTAATCTGATGTTGGAAGAGTAGGAGAGTTAAAATATAAACAACAATAATTTGATGTTGGAAGAGTGAAAGGTGCTCTTCAACACTAAAAAAGTTAAAGCTAATATCAGGTGCTCTTCATGGAAATTATTACTCCGTAGAGGTATTGAGTGTTGAGTCTGTGCCCTTCTCTTGACTTGTTGAGTATAAGGTTCGCGGGAAAATAGGTGCAGAACATCTGTTGGAACATCGGCCCATCACTGCATACAATTTCATGTTTTGAGATCATAAATGGATTATTTTAGAGGTCAGAATATGGGGATCTGAATGGGTCTCAAATTTCATGTTTTGAGATCATACAGTTGTCTTGTGGACTATGGTTTTGCAGGCTTCCCTTCTTATTTGGTTTGAGAGCTGCAGGAGCAAAGATCTAGATTATTGACTTATGGTCTTAACACCCGAATTTGTTTTTTTTGATGAACTTATTGGCTGTTATTTGAACTTATTTCTAGTAGTGAGATGACCGTGGTATTCGTTATTTGTACGCCAAGGTGAACAATGCCCTAGGTACTGCTATTCTTTTTTCCTTGGACGAAATGTTGTTGTCTACTGTGTAGAAAGAGATTCATCAAGTTATTGATCTCCTGCTTGTACAAGGTGCTCCTCTCCCCCTTTTGCCGTATGTATGGTTGATTGCGTGGTATGATTTCTACTCAGTTTGTGATTAAGAAGTAAGAACTGAGCAACAGTTAGGACATTTGGTCATTTAGGACGCCGGAAGAATCAGCTGCTAAATGGCAACAGTGCTACGGACATTTAGATGAACCAGAGTAACTACTTCCTACGAGTTGCTCTTTCTCTGAGGACACCCTCAGTTACCAGGTCATTTCAGTGATTTAACGAGAGTGCCATATCAAAGCGGAGACTCTAACCTTTTACAAGCCCAGTTTTTTATTTTTAACCAATATATTACAAATTTTCCGATTCCAATTAGGATTGAATTTTCTACTATTAGCAAAGCTATTGAATCAGAGGGTATTTACACCTTGTAGTGTGTTGCTGATAGTTTCATTGTCGGAGATTGTAACTATTGCACTTTTGCACTTCTCCTTTTATATTCATTGTAGTTGTAAGGGGAAGTTAGGAAATTAAGAACAAGCTGGAATTATTAATGAAAGTGATTTATAAGAATGTTTGATGGAATACACCTTTGTTAGGGATGACTTATCAGCTGTTAGGCGATAGCATTAAGCAATAGAACATTTTCCAGTAGAAAGTAGGGGGACATTTTTATATTAATTTTCAATCTTATTCCAAAAATGAATTTTCAATTCTATATAATAGCGTACATATGATATACACTGTACAATATACCTAATCATTTTTCCTGTTTTGATGCCATTGTATAGGCTATAAATGAAAGAATTTACTACTTCTGAGGGATAATATACACTCTACAGTATACTATTATATTCCATGTTTATATACTCTAGGACTATGATCATGGAATTGGCATCCATGCTTAGCTTCAATGAACATATTGAAGAAAAAGGATTATGCATTTTTAGCCAAGTAACTTGATAATGATTTCCAAGTACTATTTGCCAAGGAAGACAGCCTCAAAGAATCAGAAAGACGATCCAAGGATTGCACGGCATTAGTATCCAGAACTATCTGTCTGGTTGCTGCAAAGACTCCGATTACCATAATCAACGAGAAAACAAATGCAAGGATGAGATTTATCCAAAAAATGCAACTTCTTTTGGATGGTTTAAAGGTCATGTTGAAGAAGACGACAGGCAGGATGAAATCAAGGGGCACAAAGCCAAATGCTCCGATGAGTGCATTGACATCGCCAAAAAATGGAAGCAAGCCGGCTATGGTAGTGGCTATCATCACTGAGATGGACCTTGAGATTACTCTTGATGTCACATTGCGGAGGGAAAATGGTTTACATGTTGGATCAACAAACAATTTCTCCAGAATTATGTTAGCTGGTTGCAGGTACACCTGTTTGAAGCAAGAAAGTAATTAGTTTAAGATAACGAACTAAAGGCTAATAAGATCATGACTGCAAGAGAGATGTAATGTAATTACCCCTGAAACAGCGGATACTTGTAGAATAATGAAGCTGATTGTGGTGATAATAAACCATTTAGGCAGCAAAATATTGCCATTTTTGTCAACGAAATTGTCGATTAAAAAGCTGTTAGTGCCATTGCCAAAGGCCCAATACCCTGAGGCTGCAACACTGAAGAAAGTTAAGATCACCACAGTATAACACAGACTTAGCCCCTTGAACATCTTCCCCTTCACTGGTGCTGCTATCGTTGCCTGTAAGATGTAAAATCTTTGGTTAGATAAATGTACTTACAGACATTGCAGTCGTCGTGTCTTTGTTTCAAATATAGAAGAGAAACAAACCTGAATTTCGGGGATGATTCCATTCCCAAATGATGCAGCAATCATGGTGATTGCTGTGAAAGAACCAAATATCTTGTTTTCGGTACTTCCAACTATTGAGTAGTCTTTTGGTTCAGGCGACGAAATCCCTGAAAACAAATTATAACTTATTAACCACTAGTGCTAGGATCAAATCCTCAGATTTCAGAGCAAATCCTAGTATCAAGTTGAACTATAGGATGATTATTAATGTACCTATGTAAATGGCACCAGCTGCAGCAAATGCACTGTAGGCAAGGCATAAAACTAGGGAGACTAGGTTAATGTGTCGTAACGAGTGGAACGAAGGTACTTGAGCCACCAATAGTACTGCACCTCCATACATCATCACAAACTGATAGACTTCCATTTCGCCGTTTGGCCATATCAGAGAGTAAATTGTCTGCAGAAAGGCAAAACCAACAGCATTAGTTCTCTGAACTCTGAAGTAGTAGTATACTAGTATATCATTGTTTTACAAACACGCTAAAAATAAAGTGAAGAGAACAAGGCCATAGTAATATGGAATAGCAATGACCTTCATGCATTGTCCACCAAGTATGATCAAGCCAACCACAGAGCCATAGCAAACAGCTAGCTGAAGCGGCCCCACAAAATATCGGCCCCATGCCTTTCCTGTTATAGTACTTGGTACATTAGATTCCATAACAACACCTCATCATATGAAATGTCTCAGAAAATGTTGATACAGAGGAAATAAACAGAGGATTACACTAGGTTGCTCTACTTCCTTCACATACTTAAACTTTTTGTCAAATTCATAGTATATGTTCAAAGATGAAATTACGCATCCCAAAACACATTTTATATCTATCAATAACTATATACTAAAGGCGAATAAAATATGACACGTGGCAAAATCTAGTTTAATAATTTCCCTCCACTTTTTTTTTTTTTTCTTTTTATTTGTCAAATTATCTTAGGCAATTTTAATACACTATAATATTTTCTTTCCTACTCAAATGCAATCTTTCCGTCCCAAATTCAATAAAACATTTTTGTAACAACTTATAGAAAATTTAAGCAAAATAATATTATTTAAAAAGATATGCATAATTTTTAATATTATTAGCAGAATATCGAATTTTTTCATACTTATTATAAAAAAAAATTATAAAAAAGTTGTTGAAATAAAAATATTTATAAATTTTGGTAAATCCGTGCATTGCACGAGGCCATAAGCTAGTAATTATATAAGAGTAAAAATTATAAAAAGTTTGTGCTAAGAACAAGTCAAGATAGGAATGCTGTTATGAAAAAAAAAAAAAAAAGAAATTGGATGGCCTACTTCAGTTACTTTTCAACGCAAAATATATTTTGCTAGATCCGCCACTAGTCTATATCATATTTTTCTAAATCCACCACTAGTCTATATCATATTTTTCTAGATCCGCCCTAGTCTATATCAACCAGCCATCAATATTAAACAGATAAATTATTAATATCGAATCCACCAGATATCAGGAAATTTCAGGTGTAGAGGAGTTGGTCTTACCAAGGATATGCTCAGCAATATCTTGAAATCGAAGAAATCGGAGACCTTTAGATGCATAATGCTCCAGAACCATAGACAATAAATTGTAAGTGTAAAAAGTTACAAGAGCTCCAATAATAAGATACATCATTCCTTTGTTCCATCCAAGTAAACAAACAGCATAAGGCAAGTTTAGAAGAGGTGGAGCTACTATTGATGTTGTTAAATGGTATCCACAGTGTAACCATGTTCCTGTAACAACATGAAAAAAATGTTAATCAGAATATGGATTACATATCGACCTGTCAAAACTGACTCATATCTGATTACTCGAGAATAACTATGACTCGACAACAAAAAAGATGATAGAGTTGTAATTACCATGAGATTGCATATCATAGAGAGTAGCATCAACATCATCGATTTCTTTGTTGGGAAGAAGAGGAACCACTAAAGATTCTACTTCTTTACATGTTCTTGCTGTTGGAACACTCTCACTACCCATTTTTTTTTTTTTACTTTTTTTTTTCTCTCAAATTTTTTCAGATGATTTTATCTTTGTTTTGATCTTTCACACTTTACTTGTAATGGGAAACCATCTTTTTTAGGCTTTGCTTATATATGAGTTTGTAGTTATTTGGACGCAATGACAAGTAGTCATTAAGTCAACAACTAACCTATCTAGTATCTTCCTCGCACACACGCAGAAAACACGAGGGGAAATTACAATTAGATATTAAGATATAAATAAATACGAGTAATATTAAATGAAATAAACATCGATGATAAATTAAAGGCCCTACTTTGAAAGTTATCTGGATAAGACAATGAAGAAAGTCAGATTGTGTATTCTTGACCAAAAAACGAGCATAATATTTTTTAAAAAATAATACTAGGGATTGGAAAATTCATTTAATTGTTTAAGGGGAAATTCCCTGGTTCTCATGGCATGAGACATTTTCGTGAATAAATCAACAACTTTTTCATTATTATGGGCTCCACGGTTGAATAAAGTTGAATAAAATTATTGGTTTATTTACGAAAATGCCATGTAAGAAACAAAATTTGTTTCTCACCATGAGAAAATGTGGCATCCTCTTGTTTAAGAAGGCCTTTTGTAGACAGCTAATGACCTAATGACCCAATACTTTAAGCAATGTAACCTTAATATTTAAAAGTTCGAATTGCTTGGTTAAAGTTCAATTTAAACTCACTCCATTATCACACATGAGTGATATTTTATGTATTTAACATGGAAATTTGTTCATTGTGACTTTGAACATGTTCTCTTTACCTGAAATAAGGAGATCTGATTTGATTTAAATTTTTATTATTTGGTCATGCCTTATACTCCCTCCATTTTTAAATACTTACTTCACTTTTTTTCGTCCTTTTTTAAATACTTGCTCTATTTCTTATTTGGAAAGCTTTATTAATTTCATATTCACTCTCCTTCCATTCTCTCTACTAATTTTGCTTTTTATAATTTGTTATTCTTCCACCTACCCCACTACCTCCATATTTTATTACTTTCTCCAATTTCTTCTAAAACTCCGTGCTTAGAGAAATAGAGCAAGTATTTAAAAACGGAGGGAGTATGATTTATTAATCTGACTAAACTTTAACTGCACTTTTAATACTTATGTATAAAGAAAAACATCATCAAATTGGATCATGTTAAATTTCTCATAATGTACTTTTCAAATATGTAATTTTCATAAGTTTTTAACTACGCAAGTAATAATATTTAAGAAATAGTAAATGATAATTATAATTTTTGATGTGATATGAATTTACTAAGCATAACTAATAAGTATGTGAAGCAAGTTAAAGAGAACAAATCAGTCTATATTGAATTGGTATATTATAATGTTTGATATCTTTGTGTGTTGATGAAAAACTTAAAGTCATTTAGTTAATCTAAATATTAAACCGCGGTTATAATATATGTTTTTTTTGAGCTATAGTTGTAGAAAATACATTGCTTGTATTTATATAAAAAATTGTGCCACAATGTTTTTATTTATTTAATTTTTTTCCTTTTAGATACAAGATGTCAATGGTGATCTTGTACACAATATTATAATTAATTCAAAAATGATTATTATTGGTTCTTATATAATTAAGGTTGACAATTATAGTAAGCTAAAAAGTTCATATGCAATTTTGCATGATGTTTAGTTAATGGTTGTATATATACTTGCACGTTTCATAATAATAGGTGTATATTTTTCAAAAAATTCCGCAATTATAATTTTCAATTTCCACATTGCTTTTACGAACATAGAAAACATTTTGCAACTCGCAAGCCGCTAATTGTAGGTCCGTAACATTTAATTTAATAGTGTCACATTATCATTCCACTTGATCCACTTTTAGCATAACTTTGTTGAATAGTCCTTACTTATGGGGGGGTTGTTGGCGTTTTCGGAGTAGTTGCCTAGGACGCCAATTTGACAATCAACTTGACCTTTAAAAGTTCTCACGTACTTGGTACAAAATAATTAGGTTGGGTCCAATATTATAAGTAGTTGTCTAGTACGAAGTATTCATCATGTTTTCGAGTACACTTAGAATTGGATATATTCAAAGGATCGAACAAGGTCATTATGAGCTTATGAGTTATCCAAAACAGATACTCCGTACTATCTAAGAACAATAATTAAGATTTTGTAGGTCCGCCGAGTGTTTAGATAAATAGTCACCGAGACCAAGGATAAGGGCTTGTACTTTGTTATTGTAAAATGCATATGAGCTCGAGGTTTACGAATGTACATGTTAGTTTAAAGACAATTGAAGTATAACTGTAATTATCATAAAAATGAAAGTGAATGTATTATGTATATAGTTTCATATAGAGTAACTTCCTCTAATTCAGTACTCATATGTGATTCAAAATTTTGAAATCACAAACTCTGTATATTTTTCCAATAAACATTGGATGTATAATAACAAAATAATATCTAAAGCCTATATATAGGCTAATAAAAGTTAATGAATTATTACGCAATTATCACTTTATGAATGTTTATTTTGTTTATCAACCACATAAGCTAGAATCTCTTAATAACTAGATTGTATAAACCTAGTTGTTTTCTAGACTATCAATTTCAACTCGTTTGGTCACATGTCTCGAAGATATGTCATGTTCTCTAGGGGGTACAAAGAGGAACCACAATGTTCTCCGATAATGAATCGTAATTTTTTAGCCTTTATATTTTTGTGAAGTTTTGAGTGAGACGGATTCACGTAAGTCCACCATCTTCATTCTCCTTCTCCTTTCTCTCTCCTCCCGCCCACCAATGGCGGCCAGATCCTCCACCACTCTCCTCACCTCCTCTCCCGCACCTCTCTAGCGACGAAGATGATCTGAAAGATGACCAGATCTTCCACTCCACTTCTTTCTCTCTCCTCTTTTTTTATTGCCTCCAACACTACGTGAAAAATTGAATTTGGCACCGGTTCAAACTCGCCCTAAGGCACCGGTTTGAACCGTTGCCAATGTGGGGGGTGCCAAAAAGGGGTATAAAAAAACACCGATTCAAACCGGTGCGAAAACTTTAAATTGGCACCGGTTAACCGGTGCCAAAAAGTACCTACAAAATTTAATTCACCACTTTTGGCACCAGTTAACCAGTGCTCAAAGTGTCAAAATTTTTTTTTTTCTTCTTAAAAGTTAAATAAACTACAATTAAATGAAAATACACAATATAAATCGAACATCACAACATATAAATCAAATCTGTTCAATATATATATAATCAAAAAAAATTTCCAGTATAGATAAATAAAAAAAAATTACAACATATAAATCAAAATAAAAAAATAACAACATATGAATAAAAAAAATACAATATAAATCAAAATAAAAATTTACAACTTTACAATAAAAAAAACCCATAAAACATCTAAATCAATATACTTGCATCTTGATTTTTCAATTTAAGATCTAAGTACCTGCACCAATTAAAACAACCAAAATAAATTGATTAAAAAGATTTAATTAAGCTGCGAAAAAAATTTAAAAAAAAAATCCAGAAAATCGAAAAAATAAAAAGAAAAGCAGTTGAAAAGAAAAAAAACACCCAAAACATCAGTTAAAAATAAAATCAAAAATTAAAAATATTGAAAAAACCCAGAAAAAAATCGAATAAAATCAAAATCAAAATCGAAATTCGATTAAAAAAACCCTGAAAATAAATATAAAAAAAAAATTAAAATCCAGAAAATAAATTAAAAAACCCCAGTATTCGAAACCCAGAAAACAAAAAATTTAAAATCGAAAAAAAAAATTGAAATCTAGAAAAAAAAAAAGTAAACCCAGAGATCGAAAAACAAAAATGAAATCGAAAATAAAATAAACCCAGAGATCCAAAATCAAAAATGAAAATCGAAAAAAAAAAAACCAATTAGAAGAGAATTGAAATGGGAAAAAAACCCAGGAAAAAAACCTAAAAATCACGAAAATAAAAACCCCAAAACCGCATGCATTAACCCAAAATAATCAATTATTTTAACAGAAAATTAACCCATAAATCGAAATTAAAATTGAAAAACAAAATCAAAATCGAATAAAACACAATAAAAAAAATCGAAAAGAAAAACCCAGAAATAGAAAAAAAAAAAACAAAATCGAAAAAAGAATTATAAAAACCCAGAAATCGAAATTGAAAAAATCAAAATCGAAAAAAAAACTATTAAATTCGAATTATAAAAAACCAGAAATCGGAATAAACAATCAAAATCGAAATAATTGAAAATATAAAAAAAATTGAAATCGAAAAACCCAGAAATCAATTAAAATGGAAAAAAAAAACAAGAAATCGATTGAAAAACCTCAAAATCGTTGTTGCATGTTGTTGTCTTCGATTTGTTGGTGGTTTTCGAGTGATGATAGAAAGGAGGAGGTAGGAGATCTAGAAAGATAAAGAGGCGAAAGAGGAGGAGAGGAGAGGAGAGAGAAAGAGAACGGCCTAATGAATTAGCTAGGGTTTGGGGGTAGTTTATAACGGCGATTTTTTTTTATATTTAAATGACCCGGTTCGAAAAGGCACCAGTTCAAACCGATGCTCTTTTTATTTTTGGCACCGGTTTGGTTGAACCGGTGCCTTTTCTATTTGTGTAAAATTGCGCCCAATTTTGGGCCGGTTTAGGGCACCGGTTTGGCCTGAACTGGTGCCTTTATGGGAGTGCCTTATTGTATTTTTCTACTAGTGCAAATCTGGCGTGAAACTCAAAGAATTTCGTTATCGTCACCGTCTTTGTCCATCTCTTTTATCATCTTCTTCACTTGTTCTGGCAATGTTTTCGATCTTAAGGGGATTGTGAGAATTCTTTGCTCGAAACTGTATCTTCATGATAGTTGCTTGATGTACAGAGAGAATCATAATCAATCAATCCTCCAAGTGTATATGTGGAAGAATGACTGCTCAAGAACTTAATGTGGGCATATGATTTGAGATAATTGGAATAAGACTATTTTAGTCGTGAATAAGATAATTTTTATCAGGAATAAGACTATTTTAGTCATGAATAAGATAATTTAATAAGACTATTTTAGTCAGGAATAAGATAATTTTTATCAGGAATAAGACAATTAATATTATCGATTTTCACATGAATGATATGGGGGGATGAATGTGTGCATTATAAACCGGACTCACGTGAGTCCGTTCTACGCAAAACTTTCACTTTGATTTTCAATTGTTACAATGAACAGTACAACATAGGTTTACATACACACATTTAATAATTAATCTAAACCTAGAGACGGGGATATAAATGCTAACACTTAAAGTGGCCCGATGTAATTTTGTTAAATTAGGCCCTAAAAGGCTAAAATAATTTTTTTGAGGTAAAATATGTTATTAAATTCAAAAACCGAGGTCTTTTTATAGTAGATTCACTAATGGCCCTTGTGCAATCGACCACCCTATACATGCTTAGTACCACCCCTGCCTAAACCTCAATAATAATGAAAAAAAAACTCTTTGAAAAATATTTATGTAAACAATCTAACAACTTGTATGCTCTATCGTCTAAGAAACAACATCCTCTTTCAAATCCAATTTAAAAGCTTGAAATATAAGCTTAAGCTTCACCAATTCGGTGAAATTATCATACATCAGCAAACAATTTATAAGATTTAGCATCGATAATGATTTGCCATACGGCGGCCACTGATCCAACGATCGCTACTATGGAGAAAACAACGGCAATGCTGAGATTCAACCAAAATATGAAAGTACGCTTTGAAGGCTTGAATGTAAGGTTGAATACAATGGCAGGCAGAACAAAGTCTAGAGGAAAGAAACCAAAAGCTCCAATGAATCCGTTTATGTCACCGAAAAATGGTAGCATTGCTGATGTTATTGTTATTATGGTGACTGAGAGAGACCGCGATATCACCCTTGGGATCACATTTCGTAGAGAGAATTGACCACTTTTCGGATCTGCCAATACTCCCTCTAGTACTTCATTTGTGGGTTGCAAATATATCTGCACCAAAAAAAATTATCACGTAATTAAAACTTGCAAATATAGAAAATATGGCGATAATCCTATTATTAAAAGGTCAAATCTTGTATGTGAGGGTCTCATAATTAATAAATAATGGTGAGACAGGAGATTCTTTAGTGGTAGATAAACTTGCTTGTTACTAAGAAGTATTTGCTTTAGGGCATAACTTTAGTGTAACACTCTATTGAGGTGGGGAAGAGTGAAGTTGTTACGTACCACACCAACAGCGGCAATTTGGAGAATGACAAAGGCACTAGTCATAAAAACGAACCATTTAGGCATCAAAGGGTTTCCATGTACAACAAAGTTGCTTAATATCTGGCCTTGGGCTTGGTTCCCAAATGCCCAGTAACCTGTTACTGCGACGCTAAGGAATGTCGTTGAAACTATACTGTAACACATGGTTAGTCCCTTGAACATCTTCCCTTTCACTGGTGGTGCTATTGTTGCCTAACAAATTTATTAGTAAAATGTATCATATGCAATTAGTGATTTAGTTATTTGATTAAATGAAGGGTTAGCCAAAAACTTAAGTTGAGAAGATATCAATTCAAATAACCTGAATTTCTGGAATAATTCCATTTCCAAAAGTTGTTGCAATAACCGCTATTCCATTGAAAGCACCAATTAAGCGATCCCATGAGTTGCCTACTAGAGAATAATCTTTCTTTGGTCCTTTCGATGTATGCCCTACATGTCACAATGCAACACATACATTGTATATGGTCATTACTCATTAGCAACTTTAGAATATCATGTCACAAAAAGAAAAAAAAAAAAAACTTTACAAATTTAATAAATGACATGCATGAACAAATACTCAAATACTAAAAATTACATCTCTTCCTAGTTTAGGACTATGTTAGAGGACCAACTCAATCAAAAGTTTAAGCTGATGGTTGAAGCCCATGAATATGTTTTATACTCTATCACTCCCCCTCACATGAAAGGCCCTTTGGGCTTGAAATGTGGATGCAGCACAGGCCCTCTCATACCCGGCGCGAATTAATTCCACTTTTAAAGGAGGGGTGGATGAGATTCGAACCCGTAACCTTTGTGTCACGCTCGCTCTGATACCATGTTAGTGGACCAACTCAACCAAAAGCTTAAGCTTATGGTTGAGGCCCAGGAATATGTTTTATGATGGTTGAGGCTCAGGAATATGTTTTATACTCTATCAGACTGTTTGATCACAAATATTAGTATTTTAGTATCTAATTTATATTCACATGATGTGTGCTATGTAGTTCTAAATTTATACGGTAATATATATACATTATTCATTGTACAAGAATAAGTAAAGATCAAGGACATATTAGGTAATTAACGTGGCCACAACACTATCTCACATTCTCACCCCTGGCTTATATAATAATGATAATATATGTAGAACATAATTTAATTGTGTTACATTTTAGATATCAGGTGAAATTAAGATTTTTGTTTGTTTGTTTGTGTTTGAGAATGACTGTGTTGTTTGTGTCATGTGCAACGGTGTACTAGCAGGCTATCAATGGTGTGAGTAGTGTTTTGCCTAGCTAGGGTTGAGAATGTTTTCCCTCATCACTGTTTAGTTTGATTAGTGTTACGTACTGACCTTACTATTGCTTTGATTTTTAATTCATTACATGAAATTTGTAGCTCTTATGGAATAGATGTGTATATAGTATACTGGAGCACCTATGAATCTGTTGTTAACATGATAATTTCATTGAATAGAATTTGTATGATAGGGCTATGGTGTGTGAGATTAAGTGGTACGAGCATGCATGCTATTTTTGAAACTGTTAGGTTCAATGTACCTTCTTGTAGATATATAATCAAGGTGCAATATAGATTTTGCGCATATAATTAAGCGTAGCTTGGACAGTACATGTGGAAAGCCATATTCACTCTCATTCCCGTAGTACCTTACATTTTTAGGTGGACATGTCACATGTTTGCTAACACGTTAATTTGACTCAATATCTCTTTAAATGGGGAAATTCCCTGTTTCTCACGGTGAGAAACGAAATTTGTTTCTCATGGGGGCATTTTCGTGAATAAATCAACAACTTTTTCAATATTGTGGGCTCCACAGTTGAATAAAGTTGTTACTTTAATTACGAAAATGGCATGTGAGAAACAAAATTGTTTCTCACCATGAGAAACCGGGGCATCCTCCTTTAAATGTACTACCTCCGTTACAGATTATGTGCAACGATTTGACACAAATTATAGAGGGAAAATGTCTAATCGTTGCACATATCCTGTAACAGAGGTAGTATTTATCAACAAAAATTGGACAATTTTAAAATACACAACAAAAATCAGCAATAATAGTCTCATAATACGGTACTCTCTCCGTCCTCGAAAGAACGACCCTTTTGAGTTGATTTCGCGGGTATTAATAAAGTTAAATAAAAAGAAGTAAAAATACAATAGAAGGATTACAAATTTTTGTATGTGGCTGGCCACATAGTGCGGCAAGGGTTACTTGTATGGGTGTTACTGGTTTTGGTCGGAGTTACTTGTAAGGTGTTACTGGTTTTGTCAAGGGTTACTTATAGGTGTTACTTGTATTCTGGGGTTACTTGTATGGGTGTTACTGGTTTTAGTCGGGGTTACTTGTAGGGTGTTACTGGTTTTGTCAGGGGTTACTTGTAGGTGTTGCTTGTATTCTAGGGTTACTTGTATGGGTGTTACTGGTTTTGGTCGGGGTTGTTACTTGTAGGATGTTAATGGTTTTGTCAGGGGTTACTTGTATTATAGGGTTACTTGTATGGGTGTTAATGGTTTTGATCAGGTGTTACTGGTTTGGTATGGGATTTTGGTCTGGAATTACTTGTAGGAGTTACTCAGAATACAAGTAACACATACAAGTAACCCCACGATACAAGTAACCCATAAAAGTAACCTTATAATACAAGTAACACCCTACAGGTAACCCCAGAATACAAGTAACCCTAAAATACAAGTAACCCGTGCGGCAAGTGCCGCACCATGTGGCTTGCCGCACTGAAAAACCTCTAAAGATTACAAAATTTATAGGGGGTTTACAAAAAAGTAGAGAGAGATAGTAATAAAAGTATATAGAAAAATAAAATTTTATATGGGAAAGCTAATTTTGCAAAAATATTGTTACAAATTAGTTGGTATTTTAATGCTAATGGGTTATTATTTTTTAGACTAAAATTAGGGTAAATTTGTCGTTCTTTCGGGGACGGAGGGAGTACATTTTATCAGGGAAAATATATAATTCAAATAAGCGCATAAATAACGTTGCAAAAAGTAAAACTATAAGTAAGATATATGAGACGAGGGGGTACAAAATTAATCTCGTGTTTAGTTTCATCAAGATAAGAAAAGGAAACGAATGATTTACCTATATAGATGGAGCCAGCAGTAACAGCGGTACAATAACTAAGGCATAGTAGCAGAGAAATGAAATTAATGTGGCGGAGAGAGTGAAACGAGGGCATTTGAGCTAGGATTAGCATTAGTGCTCCGAATATGGTTATGAATTCATAGAGCTTCATTGTACCATTTGGATTGAACAACAAGTAGATAGCCTGAGGAATTAAGTTGCATTGTCACGAAGTTATTAGCACGTGTGACTATATAATTGCATCATACAATTTGAATGGAAAACATTGTTTGAAATAAGTTACAATAAGGTGAGAACGGAGTCTAACCTTCATACACTGGCCACCCAGAAGACAAGCGCCAACTACTGCACCATAACAAACTACAAATTGAACTGGGGACACTACATACTTACCCCACCTTGGACCTGCCAATGGTAACAAATTTTGTAACTCCCATTCTCTCAAATTAAAATTGTAGCCTCATCTCAATGTCCACAAACGCTTTTGCATAGATTTAAAAACACAAATATCATTTGAAATTGGATAGAGTCACAATTCATTGACGATGATGCATAAATTCATGACTTGATTTTTTAATTAAATTTATTTATTGCATATTGTTTTCTAAAGTGAGCATGATATATATTTCCTCCTTTTTTTTAGTTGACACTATTTGTCTTTTACACTATTCACACAACACGATTTGACTCGCTTTTGTGGTTTATAGATACGATAAAACATATTCATGTGGAATGTTATTTGAATCGTTTCAATGTATATTTTTATTAATATCCACTTTTTATAACTTTACAATGTTGATAATTAGAGATATTAATCGTTAAAAACATACATGGGTAATCGTGATAATAGGAAAGGTGTCAACTTAAAAAAAATAGAGGAAGTAATATATACTGGCGGTAAGGCTTATATTGTTAGAATTGAAATTGAGGTTCCATGTTTATGTCTTATTACTTGAAACACAATTATATATTGAGAGATGACATTGAGTGATGGAGAATGGCGCGTGATGTGTGAGCTTTCATAAGATCACTTTTTAATATGTAAATTGTTAGAGGACCCACTCCTCCAAAAACTTGCTTAAGCTGATAGTTGAGACCCAAAAATATGTTTTATACTCTATCACGCTCCCTCACACGAGAGCCCGTTTGAGCTAGAAGTGTGGATGCAGCATGGGCTCTCCTCTACCCAGCGCTGAATATTCCACTTGAAAGTAGAGGGTGAATGAGATTCAAACTCATGACCTTTATGTCATGCTGGCTTCGATACCATGTTAGAGGACCAATTCAGCCAAAAGCTTAAGTTTTTAGTTGAGTTGGTCCTTTAACATATATATCGTATACATATGATCTTAAACCTATCTTTCATTGTTTGTTGAAATGAATATATTATAAGAAGTTGATAAATTACAAATACGTATTGATTATTCAGATGAATCTAACAAATCCACACATGATTTTCTTATGTTTTGATCAGAATTAATGTTTGGTCAAAATTTGTAAAATTGGAACTGATATAAATCAATGCCAAAGCTTTACCCAAGTTGCTATAATCGCAACATTTTGCCGTTAAAAAAAAAAAGTTGCTATAATCACTACTACTTCCTACAACCCAAAATATGAAAGCAAATCGTTATAACATCATTTTAGTCATTGGAAAGTCTTGTGTTTTGTTTTATTTATTTATTTATTTATTTTTGCCAGTTAGTCGATGGAAGTTAAGAAAATGGAAATTTATTTTTAATGTCTTTCATGCATCTTACAAACATGATACAATATCATCATTAAGAAGTAAGATTTTAATTTTTTTTTTTATGGGAAAGAAGGAGAATTTCTCAATCTAATAACACTTGTTAGTATATAAATTAGAGTTATTAATGACTCTTATAACGCTTGTTAGTACAAAATTGTATTTAGATGTTATTGTTTAAGGTATTGTTTAAAACCAGCAAAGAGATCTAATGGTACAAACAAAACATTTTCTTTTGTTGATTATTGGTATTAATGAAGCAGTATTTTGGTATCATGGTAATACAATCTAATTAAGCACAAATTAATACCAAGAAAACATTATTAATGTCATTCATGACTCAAATTATCAGAGGTAGAATATTTCTCAAAGAAGAAGTAGATTAAACGTGGTCAAGTCATTTAAAACTAAGGGCATGCTCTCCTCAACTTAATTTCAATTCAGTTCAGTTCAACTCCAATCAGTTCAGTTCAGTTCCTAATTTCCTTCTCTCATAAACAATTCATTTTAGTTCAGTTTAATTCAGTTAAGATCCAATCACTTCAGCTCAATTCAGTTTAGTTCAGTTCAGTTCCAATCACTTCATTTTTATTATGTTCAGTTCAGCTCAGTTTAGTAAATTAGAACAGGCCCTAAGTCCTACAAGTACCGATGAGAGTTTGAGTACAACCAATCAACTAATGAATAAGTGACCAACACTTTGACCGGTTGACCAAAAGTTATTACTTATTACATCATTGATCTATAATACTGTAAAATTAATTAATCTCGTAACATATATTTAAGGTCAATATGACAATATGCGATATGTGACATGTTGAAATCTTGCATTTATTATTTATACAAGTAAGGGTCTGTTCTCATACATTGAAATTCGGTTACTTAATTTCCTTCTCTTATAAAATATTCATTTCAGTTCAGTTCAGTTCAGTTCACTTTAGTTCAGCTGAGTTTAGTCAATGAAAACAGGCCATAATTTGTAATTTAATGTCTATTATTAAAATAAAAAAAAAAAGGTAATTTGTAATGTCTTTAATCATGGTTTGGCTTAAGTAGATGAATCAAAGACAAAATAAAGTAAAGGTTAATGTTCAATAAGGGTCTGTTATACGATTATTTTCAGTTCAGTTCAGTTCAGCTCTAATAAGTTCAGTTCAGCTCAATTCATTCCAGTTCAGCTCTAATAAGTTCAATTCAGCTCTTAATTTCCTTCTCTTATAAAATATTCAGTTCAGTTCAGCTCTAATAAGTTCAGTTCAGCTCTAACAAGTTCAGTTTAGCCAATCAGAACAGACCTTAAGCCATTAGTTCAAATCAAATATCTTTTCTATCATTTGAAATTTGTAATGCTTTTTAGGACCACTAGGGCCTGTTTTTGTTTAGCTTAATTTCAGTTTAATTCAGTTCATTTCAGTTCAGTTTAGCTTCAATCAGTTCAGTTCAGTTCAATCCAATTTCTATTTTTCTTCTCTCATAAACAATTCATTTCAGCTTTATTCAGTTAAGCCCTAATCAATTCACCTCAGTTTAGTTGTTTTCAGTAAATTAGAACACACCCTAAGACTCTAAGAGCAAAACCAATGCCAAGTAATGTCCTTGTGCTTCCAATAGTTGCCTCTTTTATTTTTGTTTTCCGTGTGTCAAATAGAACTAAGAAAAAAAAAAGAAAAAAAAAAATCAGTTTCCATGTGTTCTTTTTCCTTATCTTAGGCCTAAGCATGCACATAATCAGGGTAAAGCTCTTTCATTCTATCTTTTGAATCCTCATCTTAATATATTCTCACATTATTCTCTCTTTTTATGCTCACGCAGAATGAGCAACTAATTGCTTTACTCTTCATTTCCCACGCAAAATAAATGAATTAGATGAGAAACAATACTCCGTATAACAATAAAACATACCTAGTATATCATGCGCCATATCCCGGAAACGGAGATGACGACGACCCAATTGAGCATTGTGTTCAAGTACCAAAGATAGCAAATTATACGAGTAAAACGTGACCAATGCTCCTAAAATCAGGCATATAATGCCTCCAGCCCATCCAAGAAATCTAAACGCATATGGTAAACTCAGTAATTGTGGTGCTACGATTGATGTTGTTAAATGGTATCCACAATGCACCCATGACCCTGTCATTAAAATTTAATCACAAAAGCTAGCGTCAATAACTCATACAACACGTAAATCATATACACGGATTATAATTTTTTTGATGCAAATGAGGGTAAGAAAACCATACAGAGAACAAAGAAACTTAAATAATAAGCCGAGGTAGTGTAGCCACCCCTATGACATAATGACATTACAAATTATAATAAATTATGATGACAGTACTCGTAATACAGTAGTACTTATAGTCGTCTTTATTTTGTTGAAATGAACTTTATTTAGATACATTTAGCGTGTTATATATTTATTTTGTACTAACCGTGTTTTTAAGAGTGATTTCATATGCTGTTAATAGAAAAATTGATTTCCTTGCGTAGTTTTGCTACCTTATTTTTAGAATAGCTTTCTTTGTGTTTAATAATTAAGTCCATATTCTGTTTCAAAAAAAAAAAAAAAGTCCATATTCCTTATTTACTTACTGCTAGCAGTCTTGTATAATTAATTTTTCTCACTAATGTTTTATTATTAAAATACGGGTTTGGGCTACATTTGCACCGCAAAGAGTCTACTCCACATGACCGAATAAGATTTCATCTAAAACCATATGACAATGAGAAGAGTAGTCTCACTCTTAGCCTTATAAAATATTTTATTGATGTGAATAACTTATGTGTTGTTTGTGAAGATTGTACTTCAACAATTTAGCTATGCACTCAAGTTATACTAATATCCCTCACCCCCATTTATAATTTGCATTGTGCATGTGATTTATTGAATACAATATAATAAAATTAAGATGGTATGCTATTAAATGGTTATTTAACAAAAAAATTAAAATTATGATGGTAGTATTTCACTAATTTGTCCCTACTGTTAGACAATATTATCTCCGTTTCTTTTTAGTTGACACGTATTCTTTTTTAGGAAGTTTTTTTTAGTTGACATGTTTCCTTTTGGGGTAACTTTTTTACCTTGCATTTACAAGCTACCCTACTTGCTTTTTCATTCTCTCTTACTCTCTCTCCTCTTCTTAATATATGTGCCTAAATCAAACGCGTCAGCTAAATAGAAAAGGAGGAAGTAATTATGTAAATAATATTGTTCATGTATAGCCTATTTTATGTAACTATGTGAACTAGGTTAATCTCGTACCCTATATATATTGTTAATAGTAATACGTGCCTCCTAAGGGAAAATTCTATCATTTTACATAGTATACTATCAAGGACTAGCGTGATACAAAGGTCATGTGTTCAAATCTCATCCACCCCTCTTTTTAAAGTGGAATATTAAAACGCTGGGTATGTTAGAGCCCATGCTACATCCACACTTTAACATGTAAAGGACATGATAGAGTATATAAACCGATCATGACTTTTATGCTATGTTTGGATAACAAATTAGAAGGGGAATGGAAGGGAGGGAAATAGGAGGAAGGGAAAGTGGAGGAAATATGAGCTCCATTTTCCCTCCAAATCTCTCCAATTTTGAAGGGATGGTCTTTATTAAAGGAGGAAGGAAAATGGATCCTTCCCTCCCCCTCCCCTTCCCTCCCCCAACATATTATCCAAACAAGGAACTTTGTCTCCCTCCCTTTCCCTTCCCTTCCTTTCCTTCCATTTTTTGTTATCCAAACATAGCCTTAATCATCAACTTAAGCTTTTGCTTGAGTTGGTCCGTTAACACCTAATTTTCCTTTTAACCAACCTATAAATTACATACCAAAAATAATAGATTAAGATATCTATGGAATCCGATCGATTTGATAACAATCTTGTTATTATTATTTCCTTCATTATTATATTTACATACGAGTAGTATTTTGCAAATTTTACACAAACAGCGAAACATGCCCAAGACAGACATTTAGTAGTTGGAAGAATAAAAACCAAGTTGTCCTATATATACACTTTCTCGATCCCTTACAACAATAATTAGGAGAGGATTGTAACTTAACCACTTAAAACTGATTTCTAAATTCAAATGAGCTCAAAAGGTAAATCGGGTGAAATACTATTTTTTTTTTTGTCGTTTTCTGAAAAAATTTTATTTAGTTTCCTTCATTTTTTTTTTCTGTCCAATTTTTTTTTTTAAATTACCATTACCTTTACTCATTCCTAACCTTTATTAAATTTAAATATAATTTTTTAGGCCCAAGTGTATGAAATAAATATTTTTCTCTCTATCCCTCTCCTCTTTAAAGCAAAAATTCCTACATGACTGGTCTCCATTTTAATTTTTAAGTTAATTTGTGTAGTTACGTAACTTATGTTGACTGCAAAGAATTCAGGAAAATAGAGAGAGTAAAAGATGTCTCTATTTTTTTTTCCCAGTGTCAATATTTGTGTCAACTTTTAAATATTTGACCATTAATTCCGTCTAATTTAAACATAGTAAGATATCATATATAGTCATGTGAGATTTTGTTGAATTCATTTCATTGTATATTTTTTGTTACGGAGTAATATCAATTTTTTTTGTAAATTTACGTGTATAAAAATAAAAATGTATGCATCTTAAAGATCGTGTAAACATAAATATAGCGAAAAGAATAGAGATAGATGGAGTAAATAGGTGTTCTACTATGATTTGAAAATCAAAAGTACATTTTTCTTTTATCTCATCTTAGATATGTGCAATGAGGTGTGTATAAGAAATAATAACTCATAAGTGACTGTGCTACAACTAATTATTGTAGTTATTATTGCACCAAAATATATAATTGTAGTTATTATAAAAGAAAAAAAAAATCATGATTCACCAATAAATATTGTTGATAGATTGATAAGATGTTGAGCAATTAGGTTTTGATGATTATAAACTAATGATGATTATCTATCTAACGTGTATGTTAAGTTGTGCATAGAAAAAGCAAATTATGCTTGGAACAGGATACAAGGAACCTGAGTAATGACAGGTATATATGTAAGGAACTTGAGCAATATAGGATAAGCAATAGAGGAACAAGAACAACGATAAGTGTTATGGTTGATAAGCATGATGATGGCTAAGGGACCATGAAGGTAACTATGTAAACATGTGTTTACATATGTTAGCTTCATAAGGTAAGTATCCTATACATATATAGGTTATGTATGTGTAGGAGTCTTTTAATTTAGTTTAGTTTTCTTTATTGTTTTTATAAATAAAAAACTAACCTTCTGTTTTACTTTGTTATTCTCAGAAGTTTGCTCAGTTCGTCATCATCAAAAAGGGACAACTTGTTGATCCTTATGAGGTTTTGATGATGATGTTAAGAATTGAGCAAACTTCCATTTAATAAGGATTTTCTAGTGTTGTGATGTTTGCAGGTTCAGTAAGCGTTGAGGGCTGAAGTAGGAATTGAAACAGAGGAACTTTAGAGGATCCATGAGGATACAAGTAAATTTAGAAGAAGAGTTCCAGAAATGGAACTTCCAGAAGTTTCTTAACAGGAACTTCAAAACGGGTTGTAACGACCTGGTTTCGGTGTAATGCTGGGGAAAACCCTAAGATCCAGAATATATCAAGACTACAGGATTCCAGAACAAGAGTTTCAGAGAAGCAACATGAAGACAGAGAAATAGAAGTATATTGCTCTAGGATTCATGTAAGTATGTTGGACATAAAAGTCGGTCTGGAACAAGTCTATATAGAACCAAGGTGAATTCCAAACAGTCAATGAAATTAGAGTAACTGACTTGTCAGGAACTCAGAGACTGTCAGAGTTCAGGAACCTAATAGGAACTTAAGTATGAACGTCGTTGAAAGTCGGTTTTAATGATATATATATTTACCTTATACGTGCATATCTTTTAGGGATTTGGTTTTACTGAATAAAGATATTTATCTTCTAATAAATCCCTTTTGGAAAAAGATAAGATTGTTTAAAAAGTATTTTAAACAAAAAGATAAGTTTTGAATAAAATCTGATTTTATGCTAAGTTTATCTTATTATTATTGACAGTTTTTATTCTTAACAAAAAGATATATTTTCAGAAAACTGATTTTTAGAAAATATCTTTTAAACTTATCTTTTCAGAAAATCTATCTTTTTCAAGATGAAATGAATAATTTGAGTGTACTATAAATATGCTCATATGCATTCATTCAAAGAGGAGGCTGACGAAGTGTAGTGGTCGTTCTTAATGGTTTTATCCTTCACCACGAAGCTAAGTCAGTCCTCCTGGTCAAAGTTCCTATCAGGTTTTTGGTTACAATACGTCTAGTGAGTTCCAGACAGATCTTGAGTGTTCAACATATTAGTTTTATACATTATATCTTTTATATGTATTTGAGAGTTGTTTAAGGGTTTGAGTGAACTCTTGTAATGGGGAATTAATAAGGGTTTGAGTGAACTCTTGTATTAGGGTGAGAACTTGAGTGAGTTCTTTGTATGTAGAGAAGGCTTTGAGTGAAGCTTGAGAGAAAGAGAAAGAGTAAGGTTTTGAGTGAAGTCTTGAGTGAGAAGAGAGGTCTTTGAGGGAAGATTTCAAGCTGCAACTATTAGAGGGAATAGTTGTTGGGGATATGAGTTCGTTGAGGAACTCGGTAGAGGCTCAAGTTCCTCATAGGTTGTAACAGAGTCGTTGGCCTATTTTAGTGGAATGTTTTGAGTCAAAATCCCTTTGGGTCGAGGTTTTTCACTTCCTATTTGGCCTAGGAAGTTTTCCTCGTAAAATCTCTCTTGCACTATTTCTCTATTGCGTTAAGTTTCTTTTAATTCCGCAAAAAGTGACTAGCAATCTCCATACTACAATTCACCCCCCCTCTTGTAGTATTTCATCTAAATAACAATTGGTATCAGAGCAGGTGCTCTTGATAAACCGGGTAACCCCGAGGAGCAAGTTCCAGGCTAGGATGGATATCTACAAGGAATGCAGTGAATGGAACTCAACCCTAGAACGTTCCGAATACCACGTGAAGACCAAAGTCTGCTTGTGAAGCAGATGTGATTCAAAGATGAACATCTTTGAGGTAAGTGTCTCGTCTTTGAAGTCTTGATTATATGCATGACATTATGTGTACAAGTTCCTTGTAG